TTCCTGAGAATAGTCCTCTTTGAGAAATAATTGGTGGTATTAAATAAGAGTAGAACATTGCGAAACAAAGGATCACTTGTGAATTTTAATTTGTAAAATTCGCTTTTCTCTGACATCACCAACATATCATACGTTATACAATTTGCTGCGCCGATTAAGTAGGTAAGTATATGTGAGAAACGAAAAATCTTAACCCCTATATGATATTATAAACGGTTAATTAAAACTTCATGGGATCAGTTTCTTGAACCTTAAAGCTGTGAAGACGTTGACTCTGCATGCTTTCTTGCGCATCAGTCAAAATTAAGAGTAGTCTTTAAGCATTTTTACAATATAGTGCAAAGGGTCGGAAGAAATGGAAGACCACTTTATTTGCACGAGAACGCAAGTGAAACGAAAAAACAAGAACAAAAAAGAGGAACTAGACATTAGGCGCGGAATGTCAATTGTATTGAAGAGTACTTGGGATGTTATGAAATATTTTACTAAATCAAAGCAATGCATATGTCTTGCTCAAGATATGGACGAGTTGGAGCATAAAGACAATTCTACGTACACAGCAGAAGTAGATCTCTAAGAACTCCAAGATACGCTCCACCTTTTCTCATGTAACAACGAGAAAAGACCACAAACCTAGAAATTATGACAGTCGACTGAAACCAGGAAGATATTTAGGAAAAGCCTGTTATCCAGTACACTGCAATGCAGAAACTCTTTGATCTCTTAAATCTTAGTGTTTCCTGCCTGATTAAGAACAAAGAAATGTTAAGCGCACCTCTCTATTTCCTTGTCTACATTACTCTCACTTTAGCCGAACATTCTTCCCTCATAGGTTTTCAATGGGTGTAATTGCATTTCTTCTAGGCATTAACAGCTTATTATGCAGTTTTTATGTTTTATACATTAGGTGCTTAAGCTACTTTGTTTTTATTCCTTGGTGTAATGTTGCTTGGTTTCATTTTTTCTCTTCTTCCAGAACATTTCGTTTCAAATGTTCCTTTAAAATGTTACGTTTCTTTGTCCTTTGTACTTAACTGACAATCGTTTGCTCACAACAAAATCAAATAGTCAAACTAAATTGCGGATTTAATGAGTTTACCTTTCCTTTCTTTGTTATAGCTGTACGGATCTTACTTTCGGATCAATTTGCTTAGAACACTTCATATTTCATCAAAATTTTGTATTTTCCGAATTTAGTTTCTAACGTGCAAGTGCCCTGAGCTGATTTCTACCTTATTATCTCACTTCTCTTCTAGCATGTACAAGGAAAACACATTACTACTATAATGGATGGGATCCTAACATCAGCGACATGCACAGCTTCTGGAGCTGATCCACGCTATCG